GAATTGGAGAATATCGTGCACAAATAAGTTAAAGATAAATAATATTTTTACTTTTTTTTTTGAAATGTGCCATGTCTTATTGGTTTCTGAATGGAACGAATGCCACAACTCACTCAACCGACAATTTCATCCACCTTGTAGTCTTTCACTTAACAATGTACTGTTCAAGCTTAAGGAGATCCTATTATCCGTAATCTTAATTTCATGACGTCATAACATGAAATCGAAGCTTAAATTAAAGTGGAATAATGTCCCTAAGTCATCTTAGAGGCGGATGGATGCGGAAAGGTAAGCACCATCCTTTGCATTGCCTTTTAATTACCCGCGAATGAAGAATCGCGTAATATAAACCTCTAAGGTATAAGCCATCGCTTAGTCATGTTAAAAAAATCAGTCTTTTCTCTCCAAACGCTTAAAGAAAATATGAATTGGTGCCTCCAGTGCTCACTACTGCAGTCGATTAATTCCATAAATTTCTTTTTGATCCTCCTTCAGACACACTCCACTGTCTCCAGATATCAAACGGCAACTTCGCCAGCCAACCTTCAACAACTGGCCCTACAGCGACTCCCAGCTTCTTCGATTTGTTCGATTCTTCTTCACCGGTGATGACGGCCTCTCACCCTCCCCGGCCTCTTCAACTGAACCAGATGGTGGCGCTGCTGCGTCTCCGCAAATGCCGTTTTTTGATGATAGACTGTGTCTGGCGAAACGTTGTGAAATTCCAGAAGAGAATCTAGATGCGTGGCTCTGTGCTGTCTACGCCAAGTACAACTGTGTGGCTTTCCACAACTTCAAGCATTCTTTTATGGTCACCCATATGGCAAGTTTCAAAATTTACTAATCGGAACTCATGAGTTTGATGCTTATTATGAGACGACATCCAGCCAACAAAAGAGGCTAACTTGGGTCTAGGAAAGTGTGGCAGATACTACTCTCTCAAGGGCGTGCGTCTGTGGAGCTGTAGTCAATGGTGTATTTTTAGGCCACTCAGGTTGATTCCCGTCAACTAGTCTATCAAACATCTAATTGATTTTAAAAAACTGTTCTCTCTCTCTGATTAGTGTACCAGTGGCGTTACTTGTCCTCTGTTTGGCTAATAGTGAGTACACCAGAATTTGAATTTCTCACTCATGGTAAAATGTTGGTGCTAGTTTTCACTGTTTGATCCACCAACAAGTATGCTATCAAATTTCGTAAATAGGCACGCGCCTGTTCAGAACACAATTTTTGGTTCGGGAGTTAGATTAAGAAGGGGAGACAGAGCTTTCGAGCTCTCGTTTATTCTTGTATTAGTCTTCTATACATATCTTTAATGTAAGCTTTTAGTCAATTATTAATAATGTTGATTTCGCTACAAGTAATACAACCCGCGTCACTTATATAAGTACACCGCCAATAGGTCCTTTTTTGTGCAACTCATATTCTACAATTAGCTTCCAAATAAAGCAATCACTTTGTGGTGACAAAGACGAAGATTCACTTTAGTGACATAACAATAACAGCCCAGAGTGCGTAATAGACTTACCTCCACGTGGTGCACCCTGGGCAACGTATATTCATAAGGCAAAAAAGTCTATTAACTGGCAGTTGACTTCTCACTTCAAACTACCATCACCCCACTCTATGTCATATTCCACTGCTTCCACAGTAATCACCTCACCTTTTTTCTACCTTTGTGACTGTTTCTTTTACATCTTTGAAACACTCTTCTGTTCCCCCCTCCCCCCTCTCGACTTTTTTCACTTTGATGTTTCTTCCCCTCTGTGAGGCCTGAAGTCAACTAAATAGCTAATGATAGCTATCATAACGCCTGTCAGTTGATATAAATAATCAATAACAGCCTCATTTTCTCTTATTTAGATGTACGCCTCAATCTGTTCTGCTGATTTGCCTAGTCTCTTCTGTCACCTTGATCTATTTACTCTCCTCTTCTCGGCTATTTGTCACGATC